CCGCTGTGCCTGGGACCCCTCCCATTCATCTCCGCTGTGCCTGGGACCCCTCCCATTCATCTCCGCTGTGCCTGGGACCCCTCCCATTCATCTCCATGGTTCCCAGTGTGGCTGAGCTAGGCGGTGTGTGGCCCTCAGGGAGTCTCTGCCACAGGAAAGGACTAAGGTAGGTGGCTTTGTGCTAAACTGAAAACACACAAGCTGTCCTGTAGTACCTCAGGTGGACTTTACCCTCCGTGGTATTTTGCATGAGAATGGCCCCTACAGCTCACATATTTGGAGGCTCGGTCCCTAGTTGGTCAAACTGTTTTGGATTAGGAGGTGTGGCCTTGTTGGAGGAGGTGTGTCACTGGGGGGGTGGGCGATGAGGTTTCGCTTTCTTTTGGGGCTGGAGAGATGGCTCAGAGGTTAAGAGCCCTGGCTGCTCTTCCAGAGGTCCTGAGTTCATATTCCTAGCAACCACATAGTGGCTCACAAGTATCTGTAATGTGATCTGGTGCCCTCTTCTGGCATGCAGACAGAACACTGTGTATATATAATAAAGAAATATCTTTTTTTAAAAAAGTGCTTTCTTTTATAAGTCTCTTTGGTTATGGTGTCTCTTCACAATTGAAAGGTAACTAAGACATCCTCCTCCTCCTCTTGCCTGGGGCCTCTTGAAGCCTGGGGAGGGGGTGGTTAAGCAAGGGAATCATGGTGGCCCCCAGGGTGAAAGGGAAGCTTACTCTCCCTTCTGATAGGTGAAGCTTTGCAGGTTTGTATGTGGTGCTGGGGATCAAACGCAGGGCCGGAAGCTGCTCAGAAGCAGAAGCGGTTCAGGAAAAGCAGCTTAGTGGTCTGGAGAGATGGCTCAGTGGTCAAGAGCACTTGCTGTTCCCAAAGGACCCGAGTTCAATTGCTAGCATACATCGGGCAGTTCATAATCATCCACAACTCTAGCACCAGGGTATCTGGTGTCCTCTTCTGGCCTCCAAGTATCATACACACATAGCATATACTCATCAACACACACACACACACACACACACACACACACACACACACACACACACACACCTTTAAAAAAAAGTGGCTCAGCTAATTGAAATTGCAAGGACACAGGAAATAGATGGACAAAACAAGAAACTGTTAGGACAGGGCTGAGCTGAATAGTAACAGACACAGGGTATGTTCAAAGGGCCACATCTTCAGAGGGTCTCCTTCCCCCATATCCCATGTTCCCCATAATGTGCTACTGTTCAGCAGTAAGTCTGCACGTGGTTTCCACGTGTGTAAAAGGAGCGCGTCTCTGGGAAGGGGCGGGTGGGGTGCAGAGCAGCATGGAGGACGGTAGCTGGGAACAGACTTCTGAGCCAGGCAGAGTCCTCCCTCATCTGGGGATTCCTGAGCCTGTGCCCAGGGGTAACAGTCTTCCTTGAAAACAGTGTTGCCAGGAGATGA